TATGACATTTAAAATTTGTTTCCATTTAAATAATAAATTATTTTCTAAACCATTAAGTTCTAACTTTTAAATTTGGATTTGTCTATTTTGTGCCCATAGATAAAAAGTAATAGTTAGGTAATAATTATGATACTTTTTTTTTTTAAATGTGAAATTTTAAATTAAAAAATAATTTCTATTTTATAATTTGAAATAAACCAATAAAAAGCTAACATATGCTATTTATAATTAAAACAAAAGTCAATTTCATCACTTTTAAAATAAATAATTATTAATTATTAATCAATAATTGTTTCTTATCCTTTATTCTAAGGGTACAAGATAAATAAACTCTTTAAACTTTTAAACCTAAACTCTAAATATTAAATTATAAAATAAAAAAAATACAAACCCTAAATACCAAAACAATGAAATTTAAACATTAAACCATAAACTCCAATAATATAAATCTTAAATTTTAAATACGAAACCTTAAATTCTAAATAAATTAAACATGAAATGTTAAATATTAAACCCTAAATTAAAATTTAAATAGAGTTTGAGATTAAAAAATAAATTAAAAAGTTGAAGGATCAAAATAAGTATACATTTAATACATGAAATGAAAAAACGTGAATGAATGGAGATGCCACATCCGTTCAGTCTCTCCCATCGGCTTGTGGACCTCTCGGTCCCTTAAGCATTATTCATATTATAAACGGCAAGAAAATTTGTTAATTCTAGCTGTACGCATAAACAGAAATACTGCTGAGTACAGAATCTTTGTATGGCTCGTCCTTAGTAATTGGAAAAGGAGAAAAAAAGGGGGGCTGGGGGAGAAATTTGCATCAAGTAATTAAAAAGAATGTTCTGCCGTTCAAAAAATAAAAAATAAAAAATAAAAAGAATGTTCTAATTCAGTGTGCTTACTACTAGCCAACCAAATGATCTCTCTTTCTATTATTAGCAACTTCCATTTTTGCAGTGTTTTACTAATGAGAATGGTATTCATTTGCTTTATCTTCCAAAAATTATAAGAAAATAGTTCTAAAATTATGTTATTTTAATAATTTTTTATAAAAAAAAAATTAAAATATTTTATTTTTAAAGTATGAATTAAATTATTTTTTATTTTTTATCATGGTGTTTTATGAAAGAACAATGATTCATCCACACTCATCCATTACACTTTGTTACACACTCACTTTTTGTTGTTTTCTCCATTGCTTTTTCCATTAACTCCAAACTCACACAACTAGCCCCCTTTCTTTCTCTCTCTCCTTTCCTTTCTCCTTGCTATTCACCATCCTCACCAAATCCATCTTCCTTCTCACCTCCATCCTCATCCTAATTATTTGCAGCCTTATCTTCCTCTTCTTCATCATCATTAGTTTTACCGGCATAGAGCATGAAGTTGAGC